ACGTTACACCTGCATATTCCTTTTCTATACAGCAGATTTCAGTGTATTGTTGCTTTACTTAAAGAGTATCATATACAGAAATACAGACTTGTACCATATGACTTCTTGTCATGATTGAAGGCCACATTATGAAGCATACTGCATGTTATAAGGTACTAGACCTTGGCTTTAAGTCTTGTGGTGAGCTCTTGCCAGTGCTGAACTACACCGAGTAAATGAGATGGAGGATGTGCAGGCTAAGGGACAACTTACTGACTTGACTAGAAGTGGCTTTAGTTCTCAGTTTTGGCAGAAACAGAGGCTATAATTAGATCAGACACATGAACACAGTTAGGTGCTTGGTCAGTTCATGGGCTACCTTCAGGACAATGTTTAGTGCCTGTTTTAGGATCTTGGACTCAGTATGATGGCCTTAAGTTGTAATTAAAAATGGGATTGGTTATAACTTGTCATCATCCTGGGATGTTCTGCTATTATAGTCATCAGGTCACATAAATGAATTGGTTTTAATTACTTGCTGACCACTGCTGGGCAATAGGTAGCAGTGTAATGTGTCTCTGGAAGGGTAAGGAGTAAAACCTTCCTTGGGGCTACAAGAAATTGCCCCAATTTGCAAGCTTTAGTGGATCTTTGCTGTCAGGAGGCCCTAATGCCAGGGAAATGGAAGAGCATTGGCCTTTGAGAAATACTCCCAAATTCATCTAACCATGCCAGTTGTCTCTCTTTCATGTTCCAGCTGAACATAAAAGCCTCCTTGAACTCTCTGCAGCTCTGTGTGTTTGGTGTTACACTGGGGCTGCTCCAGCTGCTACTTGTTCTTTGCATTTGTCTTCCAGCAGTGTTTAGTCTTGAATATGTATTTTTCTTCCATTTCTGAGATGCTTGGGCTGAGTAAAATTTCCTGGTTGTAAATGTGAAGAGGAGCAAATGCCTGTGACCTTATAGTTTATTAGCAGTACAGACTGCCTCCTGCAAGAGGGGAGTACACAGAAAACCACAGTTCAAATTCTGGAAACTTTTTTCCTGCACCTATCATACACAGACTTTTTAATAACTTCACCTTCCTTTCACAATTAAGAGACTGATACTTAACATTAATAAAAAAATAAAATATTGCTTTTAATAACAGAGCATGAGAAATAGTCAAGCTGTTCTTAGTCAACCTACTTCACAGTTACGTTTCTTTAAGTTCTGAGATGGTGAAATAAAAGGAAGGAACCCAGTTTCTTCTCATTGGCATAATTGTTTTTCAGAAGTTAAAAAAAAAACAACAAACAAAAACAAAGCCAACTGAATCTATTAAATTTTTCAGTCTTACAGGGTTAGGAAAGATTACTTGCCAGAAAGAGGCAACACTTGTTTGCAGAACAACATTTATTTCAGCCTCTCTCAGAGTATGTTGTCTGTGTATAAAATTTCCTGTGACTGGTACAGTGCTCTACCCTTGCTTCTCCCAGATATCTTTCTGAAACTCTCTATGGGAGGATTTGAATCTCACAGATAATTTAGAAATTTTAGGTGTTGATATGGTTTGTTGGAGAGTTCTATTTGACCTTCAGAGGATGAACTACTTAGAGGAAAGATGCTACATTAGAATTAATAATCAACTACATTGACTCATGGTGAAAACACTGAACATAATTGTAATTGATGGTTCTGTTAGAGTAGATGAACTAACAGATACAAGTCGTGTAGCTTCTGCATGACAGACTAGACTGTGATTATACAATATGGAATTGGATTTTTTGTTGTCTGTAAAGCAAAACTAGTTGGATAGTGCCTGATAAAATAATATTTTAGGCCACTCTAACTATTATTTTTCAAATCAGTAGTTGCTTTCTATGAAGGATGATATTCAGAGCTGGTTTGTCCCTGTTGTCCCAGTGCAGCAATAGAGGTTTGTAGCTTCAGTATCGGTTGAACAGAGGTAAAAAAAAAATGTGATACAAAAGGTCCATTAAATTCCTGAAGGAAATAGCCAGTCACCATGGGAATGTCATGTCCCATGTACAAAAGAGAAAACTAGAAGAAAGTTAAGGTGAAAGAACTTTTAGAAACCTGCCTTCTTTTTTATGACTAAATCCATGTACAGTTGTTTTTCTGGGTAGTTTTAGACTTTTATTGAAGAAGAAGATTCTGTGAAATGTATTAGCATGCAAGCTGTATTGCAAATATAATACTGATTAAAAGAACACACATGCTGCCTGGAAATATAAAATAATTTATCTGAACTCAAAGGCGATAGATAGGTAGATAGATAGTTTAATAGGAAAAATATACAGTAGCTGGTGTAAAATATTATGTACTAAGGAAACTGGTGTAGGCAAACCTGAAAGAGAGCACATTCTTTGTCTTAACATACGTTAACTGCTTTTTGGGGAAGAGCG